TATTCACGTAGCTGAAGTTGCGTACCTTAGTTCGAATTAGGGGGGGTAGTGTAGACCAAGCCTTAGAGGAAGAGTCCGAGGGGAGTGTATGCATATAACTATGTTTTACATTTGAAGTTATGATAGCCACAAGTACTAAAACTTAGGGGAAACGCAACTGAAAGTGTTTTCTTAAAAGATTTCTTATTGCCAATATTCATACTTGTTTCAAGGACTGTAAGTAACTATGATGTAGTCATATATAGGTTTATTTAGTAAACGTTTTCATTCCAAGATTTTGTGTCACTGACCTTCTATCAGAGATTTAACTCTATATGATATTTGTGAGTATACATATATATCAAAGTGCTGAAAAGACTACACCCTGGTCTCTACTGCAGCAGAGAGAGAAACTACAATACAGGCAGAGGGAAGAAATACTATACCTGATTTAGCATATTGCCTTTCCCAGACCTGTTACAGAAACACCCACAGGCTCCAGTCAGAACCCCATTGTTCAAATACAGCTATGTTTTTTGCCCCAAAGAACTTACAGTTTAATTAAAGGCAAGACACAACCTGGAGGAAGAACAAGAAATAATAAAATCGTAAGGCCAATTGGGGAAGGAGCTAGTTTCCCATTACAACTGGCCTATAGACAGACTTTCTGCCTTTGGGTTTGTTTTCCCTTGATTACATTAGAGAGAGTCACTGTATTCCAGAACAGTCTATAGTGGTCCTGTGCTGTCAAAGTGTCTCTGCGTGTCTTAACCCGAACTTGGCTCCATAACAACGCCGCTCCAGTGGAGCCATTCTGCCATGGACTTGAAGCAGCATAAGCTTTGGTGTGGAATTTTAGGGGAGATGATGCATGGAGATTGTATGCTCCTGCCTTCCGACCACTCATCACCACCTGAGCATCTCTCGTCCCAATCCACTCCATGCTTGGGCAACAATCCAAGGAGTTTTGGCCCCATTGTGGCAAGGTGGAAAATGAATTCTGCAAAAACAATATATAGCTCCCATGAAGGTAAACATTAAACCACAATGAAAACAATTTTAACATAATCCCAGGTAGAGAGGAAAGAGAAAGAGGGTGTGTATTTTTAAAAAAATACGGGATCAACTACTCAGCTGATGTGAATTGATGTAATTCCACTGAAATCATCAGCAAAGGATCTGGCCCCCAGCCTAGGTAAGGAACTGTTTATAATCATAAACTAAAGGAAAGATTATTACAAATGGATAGCACAGTCAGGAGA